CGCTCGTGGCCGCGGCCAGGGTGCGGTCGGTGCTGGGCTCCGCGGTGAGCGCGGCCGTGCCGAGGTGGGTCGACAACGGCACGGGGTGCTCTGATCGGGAGGACCTCGTGGCGTCCTCCTCCACCGAGGACTCGATGGACGCCTGCGGCGAGCGCTGCGCGGCCGAGGACGGGTGTGTCCTGTTCAACTTCCAGCACTCGGACTGCGCCGGCGCTGGGCCCGGGCGCGGAAGCTGCTACAGGTACAAGGGCGAGTGCAAGAGCACGTTCGACGGTTGTTGGAGGCTGTTCGCGATGACAAGTCCAGGTCAGGCTCGGAGTTCCAGTGAGCAGCCAGGTGCTAGCGGCCACGGCGGCAGTGGCGAGGACGATGCCGACGACGAGGCTTCGGCGACGCCGCCGGTGGATCAGAATTCCGAGGAGCAACCTGGTGCCGGCGACGACGGCGGCACTGGTGAGCCCGATGCTAGCAGCGAAAGCGAGCAACCAGGCGTTGGCGACCATACGGGCAGTGGCGAGGCTGATGCCGACGACGATGTTCCAGCGAATCCTCCGCTGGATCACAGTTCCGATGAGCAACCTGGTGCAGTCGACGACGGCGGAGTTGGTAAGGCCGATGCCAACGGAGAAAGTGCTTCGGCATTGCCACCGCTGGTGACGATCTTGCTTAAGGCTGCCAAAGGTGGCGACACGGTGCTGGAGGTGATGGAGCTCGACGGTTTCAGCGTCGGAGACACTGTCAGGCTGGAGGCCGTCGGCACCCAGGAGGACTGCAAAGTCGGTTCCCTGCAGCGCGGCTCCATGATTCTGAGTTCGCCCCTGGCCAGCAACTACCCTGTCGGCGCGTCAGTGACGCTGGTGGCACACAGCCCGCGCGACGGACAGGGCAGGTTGGGTCTTGCGCAGGTGTTGAGCTTCGTGCCTGGCAAGAGTTTCGGAAACGTTAGCGAGCTGCGCAGGTGTGCCCTGGTGGGCTCGTCGAGCGCCTTGCTTGAAAGGGCGAACGGGGAGCAGATTGACTCCTACGACACCGTCATCCGCATCAACCGCATCCCCCGCGGGCAGATCCAGAGAAGCCTCGGCAGCAAGACCGATGTGCTCTTCCTCAACAAGAAGCAGGCGCTGAAGGAGCACGTGCAGCTGATGACCCTGGAGGGCCTCCTGCAGAGCAGCGGAGACGTGCCACCCACGGCAAGCTGCGGTGAGCTGGCGCCATCGTGCAGAAGGGGGGGACCTCGAGGCCCAGACTGCAGGAGATGGTGGAGCGGTGGGGCAGCAGCGGGAACCACTCCCTGGTCGGGCAGGTCCTCCCCGATATCGCGGGCATCTCCTGGGGCTTCTCGGAGCTCGCTGGGCACGTCCCGTCCACCGGCCTGATCGCCTTCGTGGCTTTCCTGCCGCTGTGCCGGGAGCTGGACCTGTTCGGCTTCGGCGGCACCGCCACCGCCGACGGCCACCACGAGCAGCTCGAGATACACAACCTCGCAGCGGAGCACGGCATCCAAGACGCGATGATCGCTGGGAAGCGGCCGCCGTGGACCGCCTCCGACAGGCACGGGGTGGGGCCCGACGCTCTGGACTGGCTTCTGGCACATGCCGGGAAGGCCCGGAAGCTGAGATGATCGGCTCGGATCCGCCCAGCACCGCTGGCCACCTGCGCGGCCCGTTTCGCGTCTCTCGCTCGGTGAACTTTGCCACTCGAGACCGCTCACTCAGGCCTCCTGGGCGCTTCTTGGGGCCATCTTTGCCCCCTCAGGAGGCCAAAATGGGGCCAAAATCTCAATAAAATCAATGATTTTGGCTTCCTCGCCGAGGCCGTTTTGGACGCTCTGACCGCTCCCCGCCCCCCCCGTCCAGGTCCACGGGGAGGGGGTTTGGGGGAGGGGTAAACCCCTCCCCGAAGGGAAAGAGGGAGGGGTGGAAGAGGAAACGCCTTAAACCACCGACGCCCAGAGGGCTGGTGGGATTGCCTCGATCAGGGAAGTGGACAGCACACAGAGGAAGCCAGTATGAGACATCTTGGGATTTCTTGAGCCATCTTGGAGGTCATTTTGGGCTCTCCGAGGCGCTCTTGGAGTCATCTTAATCAGTGCCCCCCCCCAAGAGGCCAACATGTGGCTAAAACCTTAGTGCAAACAATGGTTTGACATTATCGCCGAGGCCTCTGGGAGCACCTTGGGTGCCTCTGGGGGGTCTCTTGGGGCCTCTTGGGGGTCTCTTGGAGGCCTCCTGGGGGCCTCTTGGGGGCCTCTTGGCATCCTGGGGGCCTCTTGCGGCCATCGTGGAGGAAATCGATCAAAGAAGAGGGGGGCTTTAATTAGCGCGCTGCCCCCTCAGAAGGCCAAAATGGGGCCCAAACCATAGTAAAATCAATGGTTTTGGCTTCCTCGCCGAGGCCGTTTTGGACGCTCTGACCGCTCCCCGCCCCTCCTGTCCAGGTCAGCGGGGAGGGGGTAGGGGGAGGGGTAAACCCCTCCCCGAAGGGGAAGAGGGAGGGGTGGAAGAGGAAACGCCCTAAACCACCGACGCCCAGAGGGCTGGTGGGATATATATATATATATATATATATATATACACACATATACATATACATATACATATACATATACATATACATATACATATACATATACATATATACATATGAAACAGTTACCCATTGTTCTTAATTGGCGTGACGTGCACTCCGTACGGTAGTGGTATCCACTATCGACCTAGATACATGGTGCGACCCACCATGTATATATTGATGGTAGTGCCCACGACCTTTGCCCGATCAATTTTCAATTGTTTTGAACTGGCGTGACGTGCACTCCATACGGTAGTGGTATCCATTATCGACCTAGATACATGGTGCGGCCCACTGCTGAGCAGGAGCTGAAAAAGGTCTCGAGGACCACTCCCGGTGCACTTGAGCTCTGCCGCCACGGGCAGGTCGACAAGGTAGGTCAGTAACCGCGTCGTCGTGCATCAGCCGGGTCCCGCAGCAGCGTGGAGACCGGCCGCCCAAAAGCAGCGACGTCACGTAGAAAAAAAAAAACATGCACTGCGGGTAGGCCCCGTGGGGCCTCGGCGCCTCCGAAGAGGCTGGTACGGCAGGCCCCCGCCCCTCGCGAGGGGCCGTGCCGCCGCGGCCGACGGCCCACAGCATCGGAGATCGAAGTGGTAGAACATGCATCCTCAACGAAATCTGCGTTCAAGCACCCTCGTGCCCGGATCGATGAAGACGAAAGTGGCGCAGTTGATAAAAAGCTTTCGCTGACAGCATACATGTGAGGAAAATCCAACCAGCCGACCGTTGCAAATGCCGCTCACGATCCCGTAGGAGTTGCTATGCATGCCCCTGGAGTATGTGAAGAAAATCCAACCAGACGACTGTGGAGAATGCGCCCAAAATGTCGACAATGATGCTGCGCGGGCCCCCTGCAGGCGCGAGGGATCACTCCCCGTCCGTGCGGCGCTGGCGCTTGCGGCCACCGCCTCTACCTTTGCCACTCGCGCCCCCCTTGCCGCCGCCCTTGCCTCTCAGGAAGCGCTGCCACTCGGCAAGTGACTCCACCAACGGTCCGTCCTCCGAGCGCTGCGGCACCAAGCAAATGCTCTTGGGTTTGCTGCCGTACGCTGTGGTCTGATACAAGTCACGGACAAGAGATGACGACGCATTCGGGCTGAGTGTGAGCGTCCAGCACCACGGCCTCTTGTCGTCCTTGAGCGGCTCCTTGTGCTTGGCCTGCAGGCGGAAGATGAGCCGGCCCATCTCCTCCATCGACGCGTCGGCGAGCGACGCCGTGGCCGCCCTGTCGGCCAGCCAGGCCTCGGGAGGCTGCCCATCAGGGGGATCGGCCTTGTACGCGTCCCGGAGGGCCACGATCAGCCCGCTCCAAACGAGCAGACGTTGCGGCTGGCCACTGGGGTGCGGCGTGTTGGCGGTGTCGGGCTCCTTAGCCTTCCACTCGTCTCGAATGCCCTGGATCTTGTCCTTGAGGGACTGCTCATACACCAAGAAGACCAAGTTTGTGTTGTCCGTGACGGCCTGGATGCTACGGTCGTGCGAAATGCCCAGCCGGACGACCGCCGACAGCACCTCCTCGACAGTGCGCAGCGGCGCACGGTGGCCGCCTCCTCGGGCGGCACCCTGCGCAGGGGCCGCAGGCGCCTTCCCGAGCTGCGCCAGCGCTGCTTTTGCCATCAGGGTGGGCGGTCACCGGCGGCCTCTGCAGAACACAACCCAGATCCAACGGCTGAGGGACAAATACGTGTGAAGATGCATATCCAAAAGGGCAGTAGTAATGTCAAGGGACCAACATACTCGAAACGGACAAGCCCGGAACCAGTACCGCAAATCAAGGATGCCGCCACACACTGCATCAGATATTTCCCCGAAGATAGCCATTTATCTTCTCCTCCTCCTCCTCCTCCCCCTCGGGTCCTCTGGGAAGCCGATGATGGTGAAATTGACGACGTGAATGATGTGATAGTAGACACAGTAGCCCAACATACGCGAAACGGACATCAATCTTCTCCTCCTCCCCCTCCTCCCCCTCGGGTCCTCTGGGAAGCCGATGATGGTGAAATTGACGACGTGAACGATGTGATAGTAGACATGGTAGCAGTACAAATACTCCAAGAGATGCAGGGACGTAACCGACACACTGAAGATGAGCGAGATGGTGCGCATGACGAAGTAAACGTGCTCGTAAGAGTGGTGACTAACTGGACAGACAAAAGAGCACCACTGGAATTACCCACGTACAAAGAGCACCCTCTAGAATGCCTTGAGCACATAACGTACACATAACGAACACAGCGTACTGGTAGAAGCTAGAGGGGTCCCTCCCGATCTGGTCGTAGCTAGCGGCATACAGGAAGTCCCACCCGCTCCCTGCGTTTACGACAATCCGTGGCGTGACCAGCGGCAGCTCGTACAGAAGGGAAGCGCATGTCACACATGATGCAACGATGTGTCCACGTCGCCATCACCTCTGCTGTGAAAGCCCGCGCCTGCTTAGTCTTGACATGAGCCTGCCACACCTCGTACGGCGCCAACTTGCACACGTACCTGTGCGTCGGGCTCTTCTGCTTGGTCTCACAGTACGGGCACCTGAACCCCTGCTCGCGACGTCGCACAGACGCTGCCGAGGCTGGACGTTTGGCAATCGTGGGACGTGCAGGCTTCACCTTGGCGGCTGTCGGACCCGTCCTTTTGGCATGTTTGGTCCGGCGCTGCGAGATGAACTCCCCGGGCAGGCGCACGCGGTCGGTAGGAACCCGCACGCGGGGACCTTTCCCTCGAAGTCGACGGCGGGGCTCCTTACAGACCTTCTGGTGATGCACCATGTTGCGGAAGAATCGGCCGCGCCGGTCGCACTGCACCGGCTGCCGCTGGGTGGCCGCCTGCCCGGTGCACCCCCGCAGGTGGACGTAGATGCTCCTGGTGGGGTACTCGTTCGAGCACTTGGGACATCGTAACAGGCCACTCTGGGGATTGCGCACCACGTTCTCCAGCATGGCAGTCACCTCCTCCGCCGAATTGTCCTGTGAATGACGTTTCACCCAGGTATCTCCAGCAGCAGCGCGAGCGATCTCGGCGCACACGGCATCGCTCAGGCGGCGCCACTCGGCGCCCCTCGTCGGCCGGGCAACGGCGACACCCTTCCAGGCCGTCGGCCAATGCTCCTCCGGGATGTCGGTGTGCCCCATCGCCTTCGTGATCCAGGACCAGTACGTGTCGATCAAATTGTGTCCCGCCGCCGCGGTAGAGGTCTTATTGCAACGCGTGACGAAAGCTGAACCCAGGACCTGCGCCTCAACGCGCGTTGTCGGGCACCGTCCGAGATGACCAACGTATCCAAGCTGCCTCCGTGCCACATACTACTCTGGAGTCCGAAGCCCAGTGCGCCAACGCAAATCGGTCTGCGTGAGTCGCCCTTCCATGCACCGAAGGCCGCCGGAGTCAGGGTCCCACGTGATGTAACGGACAATGCGATTAAGGAAAACGGTGTAACGGCGCAACTCTGTCTTAGAAAACGGTCGAACCTCGGCCCCATAGAACAAGCAAGCCACAACAGTTGCCTCCACGATCCGACCCATCTGGCGCGCCGAGATTGACAGACGCGACAATTGGCGGCGGACTCGCCCCCACAACAAACCAGCCAAGCGAAGACGTTCGTCTGTGTCCTTCCGCGTGCCGCCATCCACGTCGAAACACACGCCGAGAAGCTTGGCCCAGCTGGCGTAGCCGTCAGGCACTGCGTCGCCGTGGCGCCCCACACGCAGGCGTTCCCACTTGTCTGGGTGCGTGGTCTCGCCGTACTCTGCTAGAGTGGCCGTGATAAGCGCTTCGTCGTCGGCAGCCCTGCTAAACAACGTGCCCGCGGACGTGTCGTCAGCGAAGCCAAGAATACGAAGCATATACTCCAGAACGGCATCATCGTCTGCGCGAGGACGCCGTGGGAGCGGGGCTTCGATGCGGTAAGGCACGGGCACCCCTGGTAATCGAGACTGGAGAGCACGGAGGGCAGCGTTGTGAACCACGTTGTACACTACACACGATGTGGGGCATCCCTCACGTAAGCCTCGGAGGAGGCTGAAGTTGGACGAGTCGCCTTGCTTGGTCCGAACTGTGTAGAGCGTCGTGGAGTGCAGTCGGCGCAGCAGCTCGATAACGTGCTCTGGCATACCCTCGCGAGCAAGAACCGCCCAGCATAGTTGCCTGCTGGTGTTCGGGTACGCTTTCTTGATGTCCGCCAGGAGAAGGACGAAGTAATCGTCGACCTCTGGGCCGAGCCGTCGGGCCGACTCCTCCAAGACGATCCGCGTGATCATGGCGGCGTCCCGGGTAGAGCGCCAGGAGCGGAAGCCGAACTGTTCGTTGACCAAGATATCACGGCGCTGTGCCCAGTCAGCCAAGCGAAGGGCCAGCACACGGGCAAGGATTCGAGAAACAATAGATAGTAAACAAATACCGCGGTACTTATCGAGATCACTGCGCGATCCCTTGCCCTTGTACAAGAGATGGATCACACCCTTCAACACCGCCTCCTCCTGCCACACGTCATCTTCAAGGTCCCACATGCGCCATACGAGCAATCTCACTAACTGCCGCGCCTGCTCCCCGCCATGCCTGATCATGTCAATCGTCACCTCGTCCGCTCCCCCCGCAGACACGCGCATGGTCCTGATGGCGTTGTCGATTTCCGCTGCCTCCGGGCGCACAGCCAGGGCGTCGTCGACAGGGCGTCGGGGTAACCTGTCCACAACAGTAGGAAGGTCGGGCAGTGAATTCGGTTGCCCGCCGATGTTGATGAAGTGGTCGCGGGCCTCCTCCGGGGTAAACGGGTCTGGCTCCTTCAAAGAGAAGCCCTGCAACCAGACGCCGAGCTCACGTAATGAACGATACATCTTGCCCGTGTCATGTTGCGCGATGGCATACTCCACCTCCTGGCACACAGACTCGATGAGGGCGGCCTTACATTGGCGCTCTTGACGCTGCACCCGAGCACGCATATGCTTGTGTTCCGTTCGAAGGGTTGTCTCTCTGGCGGGGTCGTCACACAAGCGAATCTCCTCCCACTTCTGCTTGAGTTCCTTTCGCCCCGTCCGCTGAGTCTCACGGTGAGCAGCGAGGGCTGGAACCCCAGAAGTGCGGGCATCACGTCCCAGCACGGCCTCGCCCGCCTCCCGGTAGGTCCGTGAAACTATCGACCACGAAGGAGACGGCGGTAGGCGACCTGACTCGACGTTCTCCGCGACACGGCGGGTAACCTCAGCCGAAAAATCGCCCCGATTCTGTTCCGCACTCGCTGAAGGCCCTCGCATGCGATCCGTCCGCAAACGAGCCGGCGTGGACTGGGACGACCCCTCACCAGGGCTGGCGCGGATTGAATATTCAGGACGCCCCAACAGGTTCATTGTGACCGCCTTGCCGAAGTGGTCCGAAATTCCAGCAGGAAACGTGGTCAGGCCATGCCACCTTGCATATCCCGTCGGCAGGGTGGTGAGGAAGAAATCGTTTTCGTAATAATTCTTCGAACGAGGGTCCCTCCAAGTACCCCGCTTACCCACCCGCGCATGGACGTGCGAATCGACATGATGCAAATGCCATGGGACGGCCCACTCCTGGAGCTGATAAGCTAGACGACTGGACGGCTGTCGTAACAGGTGTCCTCCTACCCAGTCCCAACCCGCGGCATCCTTTCCAAAGTGGCTGTTCCAGTCGCCTCCAGCAAGCACGTGGCCACCAGCAGGAAGACGCGCAAACAAACCATCCCCGTCCTCGAAAAAAACTGTCCGATCAGCTGCATGCTGCTGCGTGGGAGCATATCCACTAACACAATTGTACATGACACCATGAATACGAATAGATATCGCCAACCACCGTCGGGACTCGGGCGTCCAGAAGCGGCGGGCCCCAGTGGCTCGCCATGCCTTCGCACACGCTTGGTTCATGAGAATGCCAACGTGGCCAGCCATAACAATAACAAACTCTTCCACCACCATCACGCGGACGTCTTCATATGGACAATGCACGTCAGAGAGGAAAGCAAGGTCCCAGCGGCCATGACGTGCTTGCAAGACGACCTCCTGGAGCTCGAACTTGTTGTCCCGTCTCCACGGGTCCAGATGCTGAACGTTGAGGGCTGCAAGTCTGAATTCTTCGTGAATTAGATGCTGGTGGGCCTGTCGGTAAACCCGGCGCTGCTGCACGTAGCGGTCGTTCGCCAATGATTTAACCTCAAACCCGTCGGCAGTTAAAGAACTTGCACCGTAGGGCTTAGTGCGTGCGGCTGAGCCGCGCCCGGGCGTGCCACCCCTGAACACACCGCAGGCTCGTTCCACCATCAGGGGAACGGCGAAACTGTAGTACTGTTAGCCGTCACACTCCACGCTGTTGTCGACGAGGCTGAAAGATCCAAGAGTGTGACGTTACCCATGGGGACCACTGGCGGCCCACCATGTATACATTGATGGTGCGGCCCACCATCAATATATACATGGTGCGGCCCACCATGTATATATTGATGGTAGTGCCCACGACCTTCGCCCGATCAATGTTCAGTTGTTTTGAACTGGCGTGACGTGCACTCCATACGGTAGTGGTATCCATTATTGGCCTAGATACATGGTGCGACCCACCATGTATATATTGATGGTAGTGCCCACGACCTTTGCCCGATCAATTTTCAATTGTTTTGAACTGGCGTGACGTGCACTCCATACGGTAGTGGTATCCATTATCGGCCTAGATACATGGTGCGACCCACCATGTATATATATATATATATATATATGTATTGATGGTAGTGCCCACGACCTTTGCCCGATCAAGTTTCAATTGTTTTGAACTGGCCCGACGTGCACTCCATACGGTAGTGGTATCCATTATTGGCCTAGATACATGGTGCGACCCACCATGTATATATTGATGGTAGTGCCCACGACCTTTGATTAAGTTTCTCTTTGGCTTTCGAGTTCTGTTGTCTAGTGTAGTTAGATGAGCGCTTTGCATGCCGTTGAAAGCAGTTGCTATGGACATGCCGCTGACCCGCTGCCCCAGTAGCAGCTAAGCTTCACAGTCAGTGGAGAGATCTTCCAGTTTAACTGATCCGTGATCGATGCCAAGGTGATTCCTTCAAGGGGCACTCCTCTGCGTCGTCTGTCGCATGTGGAGACAGCTGTTTGTTGCCTCCATTCGACGACGAGGGGCTCAGCTCTGCTTGTGGAGCATCTAGGCACACCATGGTCCCACGTTCAAGAATTAGACACCGACGCAAATACGGGTGCGTGGCACAACGGCATAGAGTCCTGAGTCGGGTGGATTCTTGCGGGGTCTTTTGGAGCTGGGAGCGAAGCTGAAGCTGAAGCTAGGGGCCCGAAAGGCGAGGAAAAAAAAGGTGGGGAGGAAGCTCTCCCTTTCATCGGGCTGTGGCGACCCGGGCATTTGCGCGGTGGCACTTTGTGCAAGCACCGGTCTAAGGCCGTGCCGAGAGCCGTGGCCCGGGTGTCCCGGCACGCGCCCAGCACGGCGCCGTTTTCTCACGCATCCCTTCGCAACATACAATTGTCCTGCGCCCGCTCTTGCTTTCTCCCCCCCCCTCCCCCCTCGCTTAGCGGCACCACTCCCTCTCTCCCATTCCCTCCTCAGCCCCTCCTGCGTCACGCAGTGCTGGCGTCTCTGGATCCGCCTATTTGTGGGGGGCGGAGTAATGTACATAGTTTTGACAAATCAGGTGCATGAGCGTCGGACTGCGTGGTAGGAAGCCACCGCCGTCGCTTTTGACCCGTCCGCGCTCTGCGCTAATATCTCGGACTTCCCCGGTAGGCCTGAGATTCGCACCGTCACGGTTGCCATCTAGGCCGCCGATCGTCATTGCGCAGGAATTGCCGATTCGGGATCGGCGGGGGGGGAAAGAAAAAAAAATACCTTATGACGTACCCAACCCATTTGTATCAATGGAAACGAGGAGTTGGCCGAAATTTGTATGGACAATCAACTTGATGTGTAAGCTGCTTGGGAGGCGTCACTGTGCTGGGCCCCGCAAGCAGGCCTCGAAAGTGGCGACAGTTTCACTGATCGCAGCCCCCCAGGGATGGCGAGGTCTAATTTGAATCTGCGTGTGGCGTCACTGTGCTGGGCCCCGCAGCAGGCCTCGAAAGTGGCGACAGCTTCACAGATCGCAGCCCCCCAGGGATGGCGAGGTCTACTTTGAATCTGCGGTTGGTACCCACTGTGCTGGGCCCCGCAAGCAGGCCTCGAAAGTGGCGACAGTTTCACAGATCGCAGCCCCCCAGGGATGGCGAGGTCTAATTTGAACCTGCGGTGGGTACCCACTGTGCTGGGCCCCCCAGCAGGCTTCGAAAGTGGTGACAGTTTCACAGATCGCAGCCCCCCAGGGATGGCGAGGTCTAGTTTGAATCTGCGGTGGGTACCCACTGTGCTGGGCCCCGCAAGCAGGCCTCGAAAGTGGCGACAGTTTCACAGATCGCAGCCCCCCAGGGATGGCGAGGTCTAATTTGAATCTGCGGTGGGTACCCACTGTGCTGGGCCCCCCAGCAGGCCTCGAAAGTGGCGACAGTTTCACAGATCGCAGCCCCCCAGGGATGGCGAGGTCTAATTTGAATCTGCGGTGGGTACCCACTGTGCTGGGCCCCTCAGCAGGCCTCGAAAGTGGCGACAGTTTCACAGATCGCAGCCCCCCAGGGATGGCGAGGTCTAATTTGAATCTGCGGTGGGTACCCACTGTGCTGGACCCCCCAGCAGGCCTCGAAAGTGGCGACAGTTTCACAGATCGCAGCCCCCCAGGGATGGCGAGGTCTAATTTGAATCTGCGGTGGGTACCCACTGTGCTGGGCCCCCCAGCAGGCCTCGAAAGTGGCGACAGTTTCACAGATCGCAGCCCCCCAGGGACGGCGAGTTCTAATTTGAATCTGCGTGGGTAGTGCTGGGCCCCCCAGCAGCCTCGAAAGTGGCGACAGTTTCACAGATCGCAGCCCCCCAGGGATGGCGAGGTCTAAATTGAGTCTGCGGTGGGTACCCACTGTGCTGGGCCCCCCAGCAGCCCTCGAAAGTGGCGACAGTTTCACAGATCGCAGCCCCCCAGGGATGGCGAGGTCTAGTTTGAATCTGCGGTGGGTACCCACTGTGCTGGGCCCCCCAGCGCGCCTCGAAAGTGGCGACAGTTTCACAGATCGCAGCCCCCCAGGGATGGCGAGGTCTAATTTGAATCTGCGGTGGGTGCCCACTGTGCTGGGCCCCCAAGCAGGCCTCGAAAGTGGCACAGCTTCACAGATCGCAGCCCCCCAGGGATGGCGAGGTCTACTTTGAATCTGCAGTGGGTACCCACTGTGCTGGGCCCCGCAAGCAGGCCGCGAAAGTGGCGACAGTTTCACAGATCGCAGCCCCCCCAGGATGGCGATGTTCTAGTTGAATTTAGCGGTGGGTGACCAGCTGTGCTGGGGCCCCCCAGCGGAGCCTCGAAAGTGGCGACAGTTTCACAGATCGCAGCCCCCCAGGGATGGCGAGGTCTAATTTGAATCTGCGGTGGGTACCCACTTTGTCCCCAGCAGGCCGCGAAAGTGGCGACAGTTTCACAGCTCGCAGCCCCCCAGGGATGGCGATGTCTAAGTTGAATCTGCGTGTGGCGTCACAAAGTGCTGGGCCCCTCAGCAGGCCTCGAAAGTGGCGACAGTTTCACAGAGCGCAGCCCCCCAGGGATGGCGAGGTCTAATTTGGATCTGCGGTGGGTACCCACTGTGCTGGGCCCCGCAAGCAGGCCTCGAAAGTGGCGACAGTTTCACAGATCGCAGCCCCCCAGGGATGGCGAGGTCTAATTTGAATATGCGGTGGGTGCCCACTGTGCTGGGCCCCCAAGCAGGCCTCGAAAGTGGCGACAGTTTGACAGATCGCAGCCCCCCAGGGATGGCGCGGTCTAATTTGAATATGCGGTGGGTGCCCACTGTGCTGGGCCCCGCAAGCAGGCCGCGAAAGTGGCGACAGTTTCACAGCTTGCAGCCCCCCAGGGATGGCGATGTCTAATTTGAATCTGCGGTGGGTACCCACTGTGCTGGGCCCCGCAAGCAGGCCTCGAAAGTGGCGACAGTTTCACAGATCGCAGCCCCCCAGGGATGGCGAGGTCTAATTTGAATCTGCGGTGGGTACCCACTTTGTCCCCAGCAGGCCGCGAAAGTGGCGACAGTTTCACAGCTCGCAGCCCCCCAGGGATGGCGATGTCTAAGTTGAATCTGCGTGTGGCGTCACAAAGTGCTGGGCCCCTCAGCAGGCCTCGAAAGTGGCGACAGTTTCACAGAGCGGCAGCCCCCCAGGGATGGCGAGGTCTAATTTGGGTCTGCGTGGTGTCCCACTGTGCTGGGCCCCGCAAGCAGGCCTCGAAAGTGGCGACAGTTTCACAGATCGCAGCCCCCCAGGGATGGCGAGGTCTAATTTGAATCTGCGGTGGGTGCCCACTGTGCTGG